AAGTAAACTACAAAAGAAAAAACAGGGAGGGGAGAGAGAGGAGGCAATCAGCATCATGCTATCTTCATTGGGTCTTGTTTGGAAAGCTGAGTCTCCTCTCTATCAGAATAATGGCTTTTCGTTTGTAAAATTTTTGAGTTACTTTGGCTAAATGAATGACTTATGGTAACCTAAGACTCCATTTTGTAATATCCAATGTTTTAAAAGTTTGGTATTTAACAAACCTTTCAAAATCAAGCTCTAAGTTAAAATTTTTTAAAAATTAAGTCCCCTAAAGGACAAAAGACATATTCAGCTTATTTAATTTATTAAAATCATGCAGGAAACACTGTCAAATAGAAAATGGTGTTTAATTTTCTTTGGGTTATATTAATATAAATTTGTGATATAAAGTTATATGCTGCAAAATCGTATAAAATTCCTATAATTCTGATATGCCTCAGTATATGTCATCAGTAATAATTATAATTGTTGTGTTGAATTATTGTGTGTCACAGAGTTAACAAATTTCCATGTCAATTGTGTCTTGGTGGCTCCCCTAAAATGTTTTTCTCATCCACAGACAACTGCTGTTTTAATTTGGTCCTATAGAAGATGGTTTTATGATCAGCTGTTAAAACTCTGGTATGTGCTCTTGAATGCAAGTTTCTGATAACTTTGGAGATTATGACATTAGAATAAAGGAAAAAAACTTTTAGAACTCTCATGGAAAGCTGAAGTGTTCATAAATATCAAACAGAAGTTAAATGCATGGACTAAACTAATAAAAGTCTGAAGTAACTTTTTTGTTTAAAATGCTGCTGATTAACTTCTTTTAAGCTATTTACAGCTTGTAGCAACTAGGTACACTCCTGAGAATAAAATTTGGAGCATATTTGTTTCTACCTGATTTCTCCAGAATTTAAAAACTATTTGTGAGTATTCTTAATTTATGGCAATATAGCTATTTGCATAAATACAATAAGAATCTGTTTTCTTTTGTAACAGGACACAATTGAAAAAACTGGTTATTTTACCAAGGGTTTGACTGGAATGGCATGCTTTCCTTTACGGAATCAAACTTGACTTGTAAAGCCAGTAAAAGCCCTTGGGAAAACTGGCCTCATACTTTGTCTATGCAGTCCCTGTACAGGGTTCCTGACCCATGGTAAGTATAGAATGTCACTTTCTGACAGGCCCAGGAGCCCCAAGTTATCTAGGGACATCAAGACGAGAGGAACTTACCCAACTCGTAAGTATTTGAAAGTACAAACCTATGGCTAGACTCAGCTTTAAAAAGTCTTATCTGAGATTCCTTATGGAACAGAGTTCCATCAAAGCCAATTTAAAAAGCCTATGTAAAAAATAATTATTCTAGCCAGGCATGGAGGCTCATGCCTGTAATCCTGGCACTTTGAGAGGCCAAGGCAGGCGGACAGCCTGAGCTCAGGAGTTCAAGACCAGCCTGGGCAACACGGTGAAACCCCATCTTTACTAAAATACAAAACAAATCAGCTGGGCATGGCGACGTGCGCCTGTAGTCCCAGCTACTCAGGAGGCTGAGGCAGGAGAATTGCTTGAACCCGGGAGGCAGAGGTTGCAGTGAGCCACAATCACACCACTGCAATCCAGCCTGGGTGACAGAGCAAGACTCTCTCTCTACCAAAAAAAAAAAAAAAGGTATTCTTGCCACGTGCAATAGTTCATGCTTGTAATCCCAGCACTTTGGGAGACCAAGGCGGGCAGATCATGAGGTCAAGAGTTCAAGACCAGCCAGACCAACATGGTGAAACCCCATCTCTACTAAAAATACAAAAATTAGCCAGGTGTGGTGGCACACGCCTGTAATCCCAGCTACTCAGGAGGCTGAGGCAGGAAAACTGCTTGAACCCGGGAGGCAGAGGTTGCAGTGAGCCGAGATCACACCACTGCACTCCAGCCTGGGTGACAGAGTAAGGCTCCATCTCAAAAAAAAACAATTATTCTTGATGCGCTTTATGAAGTCCCCAAACTAATGCTTTCAAATCTTTACTTTTAAAACTGGAAATTGCACTCCTTATCCTAAAACTTGTTATTTACCTTATAGTAAACTGTCTGTTTAAATGCTGTACTAAAACTACAAAGATACTACTGCCTTTGTCATGAAAGCCTTGGAACCACAGCCCGGCCTGCATGAATATACTCAGCTGCAAAGCAGTTCTACTCCTCTCACCTTACGGTCAACTCCGACCCCAACTATGCCTCCTGTCAGCATGAAGAAGCCAGGGCAATCGATGGCCTTTTCCCATCTTCACAGCGCACACCTTAAGAGTAAGATGCTATGAAACCCCAAAGGGAGGGATTGAAACCGCCTTTGTAAAATTATAACTGAGGGCCGGGCCCAGTGGCTCAAGCCTGTAACCCCAGCAATTCAGGAGGCCGAGGAGGGCAGATCACCTAAAGTCAAGAGTTTAACACCAGCCTGACCAACATGATGAAACTCCATCTTTACTAAAAATACAGGCATGGTGGCGGGCGCCTGTAATCCCAGCTACTTAGGAGGCTGAGGCACAAGAATCTCTTGAACCTGGGAGGTGGAGGTTGCAGTCAGTCAAGATCGTGCCACTGCACTCCAGCCTGGGTGACAGAGCAAGACTCAGTTAAAAAAAAAATGCAAAAACAAACCACTGGGATTATAACAAACCAAAAACCTTCCCAGCAAAGGAAACAAATAGAGTTAAGAGACAAACTACAGAATGGGAGAAAATATTTGTAAGCTATTCATCTGACAAGGGATCAATATCCAAGGAACTCAAACATCTCAACAGAAAAAAATAACAGTATGATCAAAAAATGGCAAATGATTTAAACAGACATTCTCAAAACAAGACATACAAATGGCCAATAAATTGCTGAAAAAATGATAAATGTTACTAATCATCAGGAAAATGCAAACCAAAATCACAATGAGATACCATCTCACCCCAGTTAGGATGGCCATTATCAGAAAGACAAAAAATAACAAATGCTGGTGAGGATGCAGGGAAACGGAAATTCTTATACACTGCTGGTGGGAATGTAAATTAGGACAGCCATATGGAAAACAGCATGGAGGTTCCTCAAAAAATTATAAACAGAACTACCATATGATCCAGCAATTTCACTACTGGGTACATACCCAAAGGAAAGGAAATCAATATATCAAAGAGATATGTGCAGCCAGGCAAAGTGGCTCACGCCTATAATCCCAGCACTTTGGGAGGCCAAGGTGGGCGGATCACAAGGTCAGGAGTTCAAGACCAACCTGGCCAACATGGAGAAACCCTGTCTCTACTAAAAATACAAAATTAGCCAGGCATGGTGGCACATGCCTATAACTCCAGCTACTCAGGAGGCTGAGGCAGGAGAACTGCTTGAACCCAGAAGTGGAGGTTGCAGTGAGTCCAGATTGCGTCATTGCACTCCAGCCTGGGCAACAAGCATATGCAGAAGTTTTAAAAAGCTTACTCAAAGAAGTAAAAAGCAGAACAGGTTTCTAGAGGCTGGGAAGGGTAGAGCAAAGGTAAGGATAGGGAGAGATTTGTTAAAGGATACAAAATTACAGCCAGATAGGAGAAGCAAGTTATAGTGTTTCATAGCACCATAGGATGACTATAACTAACAATACACTTTCAAATAGCCAGAAAAGAAGATATTGAATGTTCCCAACCAAAAGAAGTGATACATGTTTGAGATGGCAGATATGCCCTGATCCAATCACTACACATTGTAAGTAGGTATGGAAACATCATTATGTACCCCATAAATATGGATAATTATTATGTGCCAATTAAAAATAAATTGTTACAAATCAGTGTAATACCATGATAGAGTTTGAAAAACAGGAAAAGAAATTGTCCATAATCCCCCTTTCACCCTAGCACAATTTCTATCATTTTCAATTTTTCTTTTTTTCCTTTGGAGACAGGGTCTTGCTCTGTCACCCAGGCTGGAATGCAGTGGCAAGATCATGGCTCACTGTAGCCTCAAACTCCTCGGGCTCAAGAGATTCTCCCACTTCAGCTTCCCAAGTAGCGCACGGCACTGTGCCAGGCTAATTTTTTTATTTTTGTAGAAACAAGGTTTTGCCATGTTGCCCAGGCTGGTCTGGAACTCCTGTGCTCAAGTGATCCGCCCACCTCTGCCTCCCAAAGTGCGGGGATTACATGTATGAGCCACCACGCCTGGCCATTTTTTTATTTATCTACATATATACGTAATTTCACAGTTGAAAAGTCAATTACACAATTTTGTATATTTTTTTCTTCACTTATCATCATAAGGTTTTCTTCTTGTTGCCTCTCGGGGTTCCTAACTACACAACAGCTGCAGAATATTCTGTCAAGTGGATGGACCATCATTTAATGAACTATTCTAAAAGTATTGTTTCTAGTTTTCTATGCATTTGCCTTTTTTCCTGCCTTGGATTATAAAGTCCAATTGGGAGGCCGAGGCAGGCAGATCACTTAAGGTCAGGAATTCAAGACCAGCCTGGCCAACATGATGAAACCCCATCTCTACTAAAAATAAAAAAATTAGCCAGGCATGGTGGCATACGCCCATAGTCCCAGCTACTCGGGAGGCTGAGTCACGAGAATCGCTTGAACCCAGGAGGTGGAGGTTGCAGTGAGCTGAGATGGCGCCACTGCACTCCAGCCTGGGTGACAGAGTGAGACTCTCAAAAATAAAAAAAATAATAATAATAAAGTGCCAGATATAAGATTATTGAGCTTAACAATAAAAACGTAGAGCCAGCAGGGTTCCTAACACTGGATGCTACACTGCTTCCCGAAGGGCTGAAACCTATGCCTACTGTACACTATTCACACTTGCCAAAGTACAGAATCAACCAAAGCAAATGCGGTGCACATACACAATGGAATACACTTCAGCAGTAACAAAGGATGAAATTCCGCAATTCGTGCCAGCATGGATGGAGCTGGAGGACACTGTGTTAAGCAAAATAACATGATGACAGCAATCAGAAATGAACCCGGACTCACTCTCTTCACGGCTCCTTCCCCGACACGCTTTAGCTGTCTCACTTCTGTTCTCAGCTCCTCACAGGACAGCCAAGGTGAGCAGTTTTTCATCTGTCCTATCCTGAAGTGACCATAGGGACAGTGTCTGGGGTCCACAATGGCTTGTCGAGGAGCAATGAAGAAGTGGTCGAGGCAGAGGTAGAGCAGAGTATTCATCAGGGCCATGATCAGCAGCAGCCCAACAGCTGGTGGCACCTCTCGGGGGGCGAGGCCTCTCCTCTTGTTCTGGGGCTGCTTTTCCATGTTGACGGCCTCTGCAATTTCCTAAAATACACAATGAAACAAGAAGTCATGACAGTCAGCTTTCATTTCCAAGAATGCGTCCAGATTCCTCTTCTACTCAAGGGTCCTGTAAGTTACAGCGTTACCGTGGGGATTAAAGCAGGTATCGAACACCAGGCTTATCCCAAATGCCCAATGTTAGCTGTTCCCATAATCATTACTTTTTATTACAAACTAAAATACGGGTTCCTCTAGATTAGGTTAGGTGGGAGGTGTTTGTGTCTAACTCTGTACGACTCACAGTAGCATGCATTGAATAGATGCTCATGAATATTCAGTAAAATGAAAGCAAAATGTATTAGTCAACTGGTGGGATGGGGACAGAGGGTACCAAAGGACAGCAGAAGGAGGCTGCTTAGGGTAGTAGGTGGAGGCTGGGAGGCTGAGGGCCTCTCTCGAACCCAGCTAAGCAGCTGTCCTGTTCCCTAGGAGGTACTCAGAATCCCCTGAACAGTTTTAAGAAATAAAAGCTACTCTTCAGCGGTTATGAAAGGTAGATTTGGGGTGAAAGAGACTGAGGCTGGGAGACCAGTTAAGAAGCCCTGGTTATGACTACGGACAGGAGCTGACAAGTACACGAGCTAGAATAACAGTGATGAGATTGGAGAGATGACCACTCAGAAGTCACACCAGTGATAAGGAACCACTGATAACATGTGGGCTCTACCGCTGGAGCTGTGCAAGGCCATGGTGGAGGGGCCTGGGTGCAGAGAGGCCTGAAGTAGGACTATGGGTGGCAGAGGTGATTTACAGAAGCAGAATGGAGCAGAATGGAAGCATATGGAGAGTTTAACAGTGGATGTGGCCATGCCATTGGGAGCCAGCTGAACAGCACTGGAATGCTGAAACACTGAGACAGAACTGGGTCAGAGACAGCTGCGACATGCAGGGTTACCTACCAAGCGCATCTCCTTCTCCAGCTCAGGTCTCCATCCAGGTACCTGGTCAGTCCATACTCTAGTTGGCGCCCAGGGACTGGTCTGGAAACACCCTGCCGCAAAATACAAAACAGGAAGTATGTAAACAGAAACTGCAGCTATGTACCCAGACAAATCGCCATAGTCCAAACGGTCCAACTTTCCCAGGGCCCTCCTCCTGCTTCAAGTCCGGGTTTCCTCAAGTTCTCAAGTCCCAGGACAGAGCAGCGCCATGGGGAAGCCCATCAGAGTCTCTGTCCCAGTCTGCTCTCTTCGCCTCCATCACTGACTTGCGGTTGCTCATTCCCTTAACACGTCCTGAGCAGCTTCTATGTGCTCAGCCCTGCAGTGGGTGCTGGAGACACATACACAGTGAATTACACCAGCAAGGTTCCTATCCTGCTGGAGCTTAGGGGAAAGTCTAGTGGGGAAGACAGACAATAAACAAGTAAACAAATAGGTCTATCATCATCCTGTGATGGGGGTTCAAGGATAGAGAGTAACTGTGTAGGAACTCCCTGGAGGAAGCATCCCAGGAGACCTCTCTGAGGAGGTGACCTTCGCACTGCGACCAGAGGCCTGAGAGGAGCCAGCCATGAAAAATCCAGGATACTACCTCCTCCTTGAGAAAACAAAATCCACTCCCATTTCCAGAGCTGGGACAAGACACCAATGAAACCATTAACAGAAAACAGCATTTCTCCTAAGAACACACTAAGAACACACTGCAGCCATAAAGTGTCAAAAACCCCCTTTGGATGAAGACTCCTTTTTTACTATTTAGAAATTATGTTCTCTACAATCACAGACTACCAGAAATTTTGCAGTTTGAAGTACTTATCAATTGGAATAAAACATCCCACTCTTTCCTGGAGGATCAAAGTCACCCTGACACAGAGAAGCAACCTCAGTTTCCGAACAGGGCAGAGCTTCAGATAAGGAGTTTCTGGAGATAATCCTGTACATCTATGTTAATCTGGTAGTTTCTAAGGAAAGGGGACCACTTTGCAGTCCAGACTAGATCTTGGCCCCTTTACACTCAGTTCTACATGGCTTTGAGCCCATCAAAATACCACTACATTTAAATTTGCCTAAACTTCACTCATCTCCAAAATTCTATGATTTTCTTCCTTTTTTTTTTTCTTTTAGAGATAGGGTCTGACTATGTCACTCAGGCTGGAATGCAGTGGTGCAATCATAGCTCAATGCAGCCTCAAACTCAAGCAATCCTCTCACCTCTGCCTCCTGAGTAGCTGGGACTACAGGTGTGCATCACCACATCCAGCTAATTTTTATATATATATATATTTTCTTTTTGTAGAGACTGGGTCTCATGATGTTGCCCAGGCTGGCCTTGAACTCCTGGCCTCAAGCAATCCTCCTGCATCAGTCTCCCAAACTGCTGGGATTACAGACATGAACCACTGCACCTGGCCTTTTAAATTTATTTTTATCCCCTCCACGGCTCTACTCACCCTCTGCATCAGTATTCCCTAGAACCTCAACACATTCCAATACCCCACAGACGCAAGCACACAAGCTCATACTGTTCTGGCGCTCCTGAGCGTACTCCAGACCTCACACTGCTGACTCTCCCAGCAATGGCACACATTTCAGTGCCTCTATGGCTCTAAACCCACAGTAGCTGCCTCCAGGACACCATAAATCATCTGGCTGCCCCTTCCTAGAGTGTCCTCATGCTCAGGGACACAAGTACACCTCACACCACCTTGACCCTCAGTGAACTGGGCCTCTGACGGTACCAAGACCCTTCCTGTACCACCACCCCCTGCCCCACAGAGATCCACAATCCTCATCACCGCCAGCACAGGCCGAGGTCTCCCACCGTCCTCCCTCCATCAGATCCCTCCATGAGGTCCCTCCAGCTCTGCTCCATTAGCGTGCACTGGGCTCCAACTACCCAGACATGCACATGCACACACCCACCACAGATGACCCCCACAAGTGCACACACAGCACTAGAATCCTTCAACCACCTCCCCTCCATAAGCACCCCATTCTCTCCTACCCTGCAGGCCCCCACAGACACACACACAACGCTAACATCACACACACCCTCATCACCACACACGAGGCTTCAGAAGCCTATTAGCACACATCCTGGTACCTCTACCACCCTATCCCCCAAAAGCCCACACTGGACCTCTCTCCAGCCATAACCCCTATTAGCTTGCCTTGGAACTTCCTCAACACCCTACCCCTGTGACACACCCGTGGGTCCCTCACCTGCTCTGCTGCCCATTTCCCTAAGCACACACTGGGCCTTGAGCCTCCCCTGCCATAAGGCTCATCACCACATGCTCCAAGTCCTGCTCAGCCCAGGCCCCCAATGGCAAAGCTCCAGTCTCTCCCCACTCCACCACCCATTCCCACATCCTCTGTACCTCTGACCCCCTGCTCCCTATTAGCACTCATGCCACTTCCATCCCCAGCTCTCTGCACCGGGCCAGGTCAGAGAGGCCCCGAAGGACTCCTGCCCCATGCCCTCTCAGATGATTCTCTGTCCCTCTGATGGAGATATGCAAGTCCTGCCAGTGTGCAGCCTTGGTTATCGCAGTGAGTCAAAAAACATGACAGATGTGTCCCAAGTGGCCTTAGGCTAGCTGGAAGCTCACACTCTCCTTCTCCAAACATGTACCACCTCTTCCCCCACCTTCACTCTCAGCTGATCATCTAACGAGATCATCCTATTTTACCAGAAAAACAGAAGCAATCAGAGAGCATTTCCACCAGTTCCCAAGCCCCACACCAGGTTCCTGCACTCTCCTATTACTACAAACTGTCTGTTACCATGAAACTGGCCCTGAGCCCAGCTCAGGCAAACCCCACCCCCAGCTCTGTCCTCTCATTCTCTCCAACTCACTGCCACTTCACCCAAACTGACCATATCACAGTCAGCACAGGTGACCTCCACATCACTAAACACAACAGTCAAAGCACAGCCCCAGTCTTCCTTGACCTATCAATAACATTACCGTGATTGATAACTCCCTCCTTAAATGCCTTTTATAATTGGTTTCCAGGAAACTACACTGGCAGCTCCTCATCTCTGAGTCCACTTAGTGGGGTCGCCCAGAGCTCAGAGCTCAGGCCTCTGCCACACTCCCTGGGAGAGCTCACCCAGACTCAGGACTTTTCATCACTGCCTGCTGATGACTTCCAAAGGTAAAACTCCATTCCCAGCCTCTCCTCAGAACTCAAGGCTTGCTTCCTTGACATCTCCATGTGGATGTCTGATGAACAACTCAAAAGATTCAAAAAACAACTCAATTTAAAAAATGGGCAAAGGGTCAGGCATTGGTGGCTCACACTTGTAATCCCAGCACTTTGGGGAGGCCGAGGCGGGAGGATCACTTGATCCTAGGAGTTCCAGACCAGCCAGGGCAACATAGTAAGACCTGCTGTCTACAAAATCTAAATTTAAAAATTAGCCAGGCATGTTGGCATGCGCCTGTAGGCCCAACTACTCAGGAGGCTGAGGTGGGAGGATCATTTGAGTCCAGGAGACCAAGGCTGCAGTGAGCTGTGATCGTGCCACAGCACTCCAGCCTGGGTGACAGTGAGACCTTGTCTCAAAAAAATAAATAAATAAAATTTTTAAAATGGGCAAAGGACTTGAATAGACATTTCTCCAAAGAAGATACACTGATGGCCAACAGGCACATGAAAGATGCTCAGCTTCACCAATCATCAAGGCAAACGCAGATCAGAAGTGTGACAAGATGGCATTTTACACCCATGAGGATGGCTATAATACAAAAATCAGTAAAAACACAAGTGTATGGGGATGGGGAAAAACTGGAATCCTCAAAAATCACTAGTGAGAAAGTAAAATGCAGCCACTGTGGAAAGCAGTCTGGCCGCTCCTCAAAAGGTTAAGCACAGTCACCACATGACCCAGCAACTCCACTGCCCGGTGTGTACCCATGAAAACATGCACACTCACACACACACTTATACATGAATGTTCACGGAAGCATTATCCACAACAGCCAAACAGTGGGAACAAGCCGAGTGTCCACTGGCAGATGAATGGATACATAAAATGTGGTACATTCATAAATGGAATATTATTCAGTCATAAAAAATAAAGCACTAATTCATGCTGCAACATGGGTGAACTTTGGAAACATCATGCTCAGTGAAATAAGCCTGACAAAAAGGCCACATACCATATGATTCCATTTACATGAAATGTCCAGAAACAGCAAATTCAGACACAGAACGTAGATTTGTGGCTCCCAGAGGCTGGGGGGCGGGGGGTGGAATAGCTGCTGATGGGGATCGGGTCTCTTTTTAGCTAAAATGCTCTCGAATTAGACAGTGATGATGGTTGTACAAGCTTGTGAATATACTAAATATCACTGAATTGTACACTTTAAAATGTCGAATGTTATGGCTTGTGAATTATATTTTTGTTGAAGTCTCCCCTTAACATTTAAAAAGATAAAAGCATTCCCAGCTCTCAGGCTATGCAAAAACAAGCAGAAGCTGTGGTCGGCCAAGCCCTGCCTTAGGTGAAGGCATTCCTCCAGGTCTGCCAAAGGCCCAGGTAACCTCACCCATACCTGGGACACTAGCAGCCATCTGAACTCTGATGCTTTCTAAGTCTGCACTGCAGACTAGATCTCTCCTACGCTTCGCTCACTGGCCTATCAAGGTATGGGATGTCCACTGCAGAACTCCCCCGTCCCTACATGACCCTCCCCCAGGGTTCCCTCTGTGATGGGCTCATGACCCAACCACCCACTCAAGTTACAGACCAGGCGTGTGTGACTTGATTCCTCCCTCCCCTAACCTCCAAACCAACCAATTACCACATGCATTCAATGCTCCCACCAAAACCTCTCTCACAGCCGCTAGCATCTCTCCTTCCTTGTTGCCCTTACCCTCCACTCCCCTCCGTGAGCCAGCAGCACCTCTCACCTGGGTTTCCGCAAGAGATTCCCAAGCAGACACCCAGTTTTTCCTCTCTTGCAGCCCATTCTCAGGATTACACAGCAAACAGTATCGTTTTTCTGTTTCACATACAGAGAAAAATTAAAAAAAATCATAAGCATTCATCCAGCTTTGTCAAGTTACATTGCATCATTTTTTCAGATCTTTTTTTAAAGAAATTAAATATTAAAAATAGAGTCGAAGCCCCTCTGGACTCCTCCCCATCCAATTCTACCTCCTCCCAAGAAGTGATCTCTATCTTCAAGTTGGTGGACATCAGAGATTCTCAAACTGTGGTCGCCAGACCTGTGGCATCATCGTCCAGGAACCTGGGAGAAATGCAAATTCTTGGGTCCACACTCCAAACCTACTGAATCAGAAACGAAAATCTGTGTTTTAATAAATCCTTTAGGTGATTTTGGATGCATGCTAAAGTCTGAAAACCACTGGTGTATATAATTCCTATACATGCTATCTATCTATCTATCTGTCTGTCTATCTAATCGATCATATCTATTTACCTACCTACTTACCTATCTACTTAAGACATGGAGTCTCACTATGTAGCCCAGCTAGACTCAAGTGATCCTCCTGCCTCCACCTCCCAAGCAGCTGGGACTGACTACAGGGATGGGCTACCAAACTCCGCTTTCCATACATGCTTTTTATTTTCACAAGTATGTGCCCATAAATCATACATATGTTTTCAAGCTTTATACAAACAGTGATGGGCTGGTATTATCCTGTTGCAACTAGCTTTTTTAAAAGCTCAACGTTACATTTCTGAGATTTATCCATGCAGATGTACAAAACTCCAGTTCACTATTTTCAACTGGTTTGACTTTTCCACAATTAGTGAGACAAGCTGTGTACACATCTCCCCAGGCATACATGAAAGTTTCTCTGATACATGCAGGGAGCTTTTTTTTTTTTTTTTGAGATGGAGCCTCACTGTATCGCCAGGCTGGAGTGCTATGGCATTATCTCGGCTCACTGCAACCTCCAACTCCCTTATTAAAAGGATTCTCCTGCCTCAGCCTCCTGAGTAGCTGGGATTACAGGCATCTCACCACGCCCAGCTACTAAAAATAGAGACGGAGTTTCACTATGTTGGCCAGATGGTCTCAATCTCCTGACCTCGTGACCCGCCCACCTCAGCTTCCCAAAGTGCTGGGATTACAGGCATGAGCCACCGTGTCCCTGTCCGGCCCATGCAGGGAGAGCTTCCTAAGTACTGATGTGATCCCACTTGGCTTAACATTCAACAGCCCCTGACTCGGCTCACAGGATCAAGTCCAAACTCTTATGTGGCCTCCTGAAATCTAGCCCCTATCTGCTTCCCTAAACCCTCCCTGCACCCCACTCTCTGGCCCCTGAGCTTTCCTCAGTCCTCAAAGGCTCCCTTTCTGGGATACCCAGGCCCCGGCCTCCTCTAAATTCTAAGCACCAAGAGGCCTGCCTGTCTGTCCTGTTCACCAGTGCACCCCAGTGCCTGGCACACAGTGGGTACTCAGCAAAGACACACAACTGCCTGGTCACTCTGCGCCTCTCCCTCTTCATGGCCTCAGCCATGAAGGCTGCTTTCCCTCTCCTGTGTTCACCCCACCGCATCCGCTCTTCCTCTCCTCACAGCTCCCGTTCTCTGAGGCCCCTCATCTGCCACCTCCTTCTTCAATCCAAGTTTCCCAGCTCAAACCCTGTGGTAAATCCTTTCAACCCTCCAACCCTCCTTACCCCTAACCTCCCACCAATCCTTCCTTGCCACTAGGGGTGGATTCAGATTTTATGGGGCCTGAAGCTTATATAAGTTGGGACGACGAGTGGTAATTCTTTAAGAATACACAGTTATGAATGTAAAAGTGCTGAGCCCCTTGCCAGAGTTTTGGAAGGTATTTGAGCAAGTGAAGAGACTAGAAGCTTCATCATAAACCCCGATCTGCTTGTCATTCACCAGCCCCATGTAACTTGCCCGGTCCACTTCTTCATTTCCACTCAAAGGCTGCCAACATCAGCTACAAAACTCTGTGGGACTCTACAAATGCATATTTTCTAATCTGTGTTGGACCCTCCGCATTACTAAGAAAACCTTTAATGCATTTCTTGCTGAATACAAATTTTATATGCCCCACTAACCTTTTATGTATCCCTAAGTCCTCACATTCACTTCTGAATCCTCTCTCAGCAAAAAGAAACCACACCAAAACAAAATTAAAAAAAAAAACTCAAAAATTCATTTGACTTTTATACAGTGTCAACTTCACACCAATTCTGTGAAGTGGATATAATTGTTGTTATTTCCATTTCACAGATAAGACAACTGAGTCAGAGGTGAAGTAATATGTCTAAGGTCACTATACACAGAGGAGCCAAGTTTTCTGGACTCAAGCCCATTTTTCCCCTAAATACCACAGTGCTCAGGAGTTGAACTAAATCAAACCCAGTGTGGTCACCTAGGGACTGGTCTAGGGGACCCTGGGACTGCCTGTTTCTTAAAGAAGACTTCAGCCCACCTCAGCCCCGATTTGCTTTTTTGTTTCAGAGCATATTCTGGAGTAGGCCGCCCAGAGCATAGCATGAGGCTGTGTGGCTGAAGGAACTTTCGTGTCCAGAAATAAGCAAAAACCGCTGAAATTTACTGGTCCTGAAAACAGCCTGCACATTAAGGAATAAAGATGGTGGGGCAGGTTGGGCAGGAGAAATTCAGGCACGATTGATATACAAAGCATTTCTGACACTGATAGGCAGGCTTATTGACAGAGAAACAAGCTTGGCTTAAAGAAAAAAGAAAAGGGACAAAACTAGTTTTTACCGACTTACAAGGTATTTTCTACAACTAGGGAAGACACAGAGTAGTGTCATCCAATGCAATTTACAGTAGAATTCCATTGTGCCAATAAAGCACAAGGTACATTAGAAGGATTATTTTAAATATTCTTAATGCTTATTTAGCCTTAGGGTCCTACAGTAAAGGCAAAGGGTGACAAAGACAAGATTATGCAACAAAAGAGCGAAATTTTGCTTTCTAAAAAAAGAGAAGAATATGATTACACTTAACACCTCCTGGCAACAATGATCTCGTGCAGAATAAACACCCAAAGGCAAAGAGCTGAGACAGAGTCCTCGGTCCTTTCTGGTTTTTTTGTTTTTCGTTTTTTGTTTCGGTTTGGTTTGGTTTTTGTTTTTTTTAAACAGAGACAGCCTCTGCCGGACCCAGTAGCTCACGCCTGTAATCCCAGCACTTTGGGAGGCCGAGGTGGGCGGATCACCTGAGGTCAGGCGTTCGAGACCAGCCTGACCAACATGGTGATACTCCGTCTATACTAAAAATACAAAAATTAGTTGGGCGTGGTGGCGGACGCCTTGTGATCCCAGGAGCCAAGACCGCGCCACTGCACTCCATTCTGGGTGACAGAGCGAGACTCCGTCTCAAATAATAATAATAATGATAATAAAGTCTCTCACTGTGTCCCCCAGGCTGGAGTGCAGTAGCGCGATTTCGGCTCACTGAAACCTCCGCCCCCGCCGGGTTCAAGCGATTCTCCCGCCTCAGCCTCCCGAGTAGTTGAGACTACAGGCGGCGCCACCGCGCCCGGCTAAATTTTTTTTTACAGAGACAGGAGTTCCGCCATGTTGCTCAGGCTGCTCTCGCCTGAGCTCACGCGATCCTTCCGCCTCCGCCTCCCAAAGCGCTGGGGTTACAGACTGGAGCCAGCTCGCCCGGCCATTCTCGGGTTCTTTAACTTCCCCCTACCGCGCAGGGCTGGACGCGGAGGCGGGGGCTGGGCGCAGTCGACCCGGCCGCCCAGGCCAAGCGCAGCCTCCCAGGGAGCCTCCGCACAGGCGGCCGGCGCTGCGGGCCGGGCCACGTACAGGCCCCTCGAGAAACCCAGCTGCACGCCGCCTCACCCCTTCGCCCTCTCGCCCCTCGCCCCAGCACCTACCTGCAGCCCAAGCTTCTGCGCTCCCTGCTACCCCAGGACAGCACGCACTGGGCCTACTGCGCTTGCGCGTTCAGAAGCGCGTCCAGGGCGGGCGGGCGTGACGCTGCTGCCCCCTGGCGTCCTCCTCAGGCCGCGCACTGAAGCCAGAGCTAACGCTTCGGCGGTACCAGCGCGCACCTACCCAGTCTCCCTCTCTGGCTTCTGCTTCCCGAACTTACGAGAACGATTTTGCATTGACCCACTATTGCTTCAGCCTGGAGCCAGGCCCATGCAGAGCAGCTGTCAGATCTAGACAAACTGCCAGGCCTTCCAAAGCGTATTTCTCAGATCCGCGGCATCTGCAGGGACCTTGCTGGAAAGGCTGATTCCCCACTCCGGCCCAGACCCACCACTCGCGGACCCAGATGCCTGAAGTTGGACAATCACTCTGTAAAAGAAACTGTGGGGCTTAGCCCAGACACAGTAAAGCTGAGCTGCACACATCAAGCGCAGCAGACAAGACCTTGGCAAGCCTCCGCAGAGGGGTACGACTGGGCAAAGGCGGAGAAGTCCGTCGGGGCCGGCCGGGAGCCCCGCCGGGAGCCCCGCCGGGAGCCCAACACGCACTCGGGCACTTGCCCCGGGGAACCGAGAGGGAGGCTTGCAGCGTCGAAGTCAGGCTGGGGTCATGAAAAGTCTGGGTTGTGTACGTTGGAAGCGTTAGCTGCTTCTACACTGACACACTGAGAAAGTCCAGAATTAAGAAACTAACATGGTGTGGGTTAAAAAAAAAAAAACTGAGCCTGTACTAGCGATCCAAACAGTATTAAAATAACTACCAGAAACGTTTGCCTGTCACATGGACAAATAGCAAAAGAATGGTAACACCTTCTGTCCTTACAATAGCGTCTGAAAGTTTCCTCACACATACAAGTGAGTGTAAATTGGAATTCCTCCTACGGGACCTAGCAAATCCATTTGTAGGAATTTATCCTTCAGAAATAATATGTCTGCGGCAGGGGACCGTGGCTCACGCCTGTAATCCCAGTACTTTGGGAGGCCGAGGTGGGCACATCACGAGGTCAGGAGATCGAGACCATCCTGGCTAACACGGTGAAACCCCGTCTCTACTAAAAATACAAAAAAGTAGCCGGGGCGTGGTGGCGGGCGTGAGAATGGCGTGAACCCGGGAGGCGGAGCTTGCAGTGAGCCGAGATAGCGCCACTGCATTCCAGCCTGGGCGACGACTCAGTCTCAAGAAAAACAAGAAAAAGAAAAAGAAATAATATATCTGCAAGATGTATACACAAGAGATGTATACACAAGAGATCTTGCTGAAGCATTGCTGGTAAAAGATATTTATACTAGAGAAAAAAAGAAACCTGAATGTATAACAATAGGGTTTTCTGAAAGAAATTGTATTACATGTAGCCATCAAAAATGCTGTCTAACGGGTGCACAGTTTCAGTGTGAGAAGATGGTAAAGTCCTGGAGATGGATGGGGTGATGGTTGCACAACAATGTGAATATACTTAATTCCACTGAATTGTACACTGAATTGTTACAATGGTAAATTTTATGTATCTTTTACTACAATTTTTAAAAAGTTATGCTGTAGATCTATATATATTGACAGGAAAGGATATTCATAATATATGGCAAGAGAGTAAGCAATGTCATTTTTTAAAACATGTATTTATAATCATAAATATACATATATATTCCAATGGTTACCTCCAATAAGTAGAATTTGGGGCAATTTAAATTCTCCTTTCTTCCTTATATTTATTTTTAAATGTTTATGTAATAGGTATTTCTCCATATATATGTATATACATACATGAACCATGAGCCTGCTAGCAGTATCAGACATGTATTATGACATGTCTTAGAGGGAAGCCATTTAGAAGGATCATAAAACAAACCTATTAAATTAATAATAACTTTTAAAAAGAAAGTAGGCCAGGCGTGGTGGTTCACGCCCGTGATCCCAACACTTTGGGAGGCTGAGGCAGGTGGATCACTTGAGGTCAGGAGTTTGAGACCAGCCTGACCAACATGGTGGAATCCCATCTCTACTAAAGATACAAACATTACCCAGGTGCAGTGATGGGCACCTGTCATTCCAGCTACTCAGGAGGCTGAGGCAGGAGAATTGCTTGAACCGGGGAGGCAGAGGTTTCAGTCAGCCAAGATCGTGCCATTGCACTCCAGCCTGGGCAACAGAGCGAGGCTCCGTCTTGGAACCAAAAAAAAAAAGAAAGAAAGAAAGAAAGTAAAAAGGAAAATGGGTGAGATATGAGAAACTTTGAACATGAGAACTTTGAAGGGAAAAATAATCAGGCATGGAAATTTTATTAGATGTAGAGAATTGAGGAAATAAACGAATAAAGTGTAGTCAGTTTAGCTATAACACATTTTAAACACTAATTTCTTTCAGTAAGATTGATACATTAAGAAATAAGCATAACACAAATTTTCTGTTTGGTTAGTTGGTTTTGTTTTGTTTCATTTTGGTTTGTTTTGGTTTGGTTTGAGAAAGGGTCTCACTATGTTGTCCAGGTTGGTCTCAAATTCCTGGACTCAAGTGGTCCTCCTGCCTTAGCCTCCTGAAATGCTGGGACTACAGGTGTGAGATGCTGTGGCCAGCATTGCCCTGTTTTCAACACTGAAGTAGACACTACTTGGCAGATACCACCGAATTGCTATAAAGATAGGATGACGAGTTTTTTAGTTTTTTCATAAAATTGAACCTGCTGGCTGACAGAGTTGGCTGTTGGCATCAAGATAGAAACCAGCCAGCCAGGGTTGGGGGCAGGGTGACTCACGCCTGTAATCCCAGCACTTTGGGAAGTCTAGGCGGTCGGATCACCTGAGGTCAGGAGTTCAAGATCAGCCTGGCCAACATGGTGAAACTCTGTCTCTGCTAAAAATACAAAAAAATTAGCCAGGTGTGGTGGCGGGTGCCTGTAATCCCAGCTACTCGGGAGACTGAGGCAGGTGAATCACTTGAACCTGGGGAGTGGAGGTTGCAGTGAGCTGAAATCGTGCCACTTCTCTGGAAAAAAGAGTTTCTGAAATGCCAGATGAGTTGGTCTCTCCTGTGCGAGACACCCATGGGGAGCCATGGGTGGCCTCTGAGGAGAAAAGTCTCCTTATTGCCTTCATCTCTTTATGCCCTGAGAGCATAACAGTTCAGCGGCCTGCCACAGGTTGCTGGGGGAAATAACACTCCTTTGAAGCAGTGGAGTATAATCAAACATCTTGACTCCTCCTGAAACCCACTCCCACCCATTTCAGTCCCGATAAGTTAAAGATCTTAACTAGTTTAGACACATTCAACGCTCCAGTCCCCTGGACCTGCCTTTTAAACTCTTATTCTGTCTCTTTCTAATTACTTTGTCTCCGCTGGACTCGGGGTACCCGCCGGGTGGTGTGGGGCTGGTTTCCCCAACAACTTCACTCTAGCCTGGGCAAAAGAGCAAACCTCTGTCTCAAACAAACAAACAAACAAAAAGATAGAAACCAACCGGCAGCTCTCCTTGCTGAGTTCTTTGCCACATGGCCACCATTTTGTGCCTACGGGCTTTTTGGGTGTGCTGGGGAAAGGTGAAATTTTAACACTGATGAAAAATTAGAGGAATTAAATTCAAACAATTAAAAGTAAAAAAGAACAGCAGAATTTGACACACCATCAAACTGGTTGTGTCACCCTTCTTCAAGCTGAACGTAGCCCAAAGCCTGGAACTGAGTGGCGGGGGCACATATAGAGACTCGGGAGAAACCCTCTGATTCTGGCTCGTGGAGCAAAAAAGGAAACTCCTAACTCAGAGGGAGTGAAGAAAATTCCCTTTTCTTTCTATTTCTTCATTTCTTTGCACTCCAGACCCCAGTCAAGCTCATGGCCAGAGCAAAAAGCTTCAGCAGCCAAAAATCTGAGGCAGAGAGAGAGTCCTTTCCATTCAGTGGCACTGCAGCTCCAAGAAGACAGACACAAACTCGGTTTTTGTTGTTTTTATTTGTTTCCCACCGCTGTGGCACAACTGTGGAAGTGGGCAGCTCCACCAAGCGAAACTGAAAGTGGGAAGTTTCAGGCCAGGGCGCTGAAACCTGAGGGAACCTAAAAGTACCGAGAAGAGAGTGGAAGGTGAGAGCATTTGGCAAGCAACCTCAGAGAGTTGTTTTTGAACTCTTGGGCTCACCACTGACCTGCGTATCATAGACTTAACCAGCACACCAAACACTCAGACAACTGTGCTCATGAACAGATTTT